CAAACAGATGAAAAATTACAAAGCCCCAGGGCTTGATGGAATCCTAGCCAAGGTGTATAAAGCAGGAGGACCTTTGCTTACTAGCCGTCTCCACTCCCTCCTGGAGAATATATTGGAAAAATAAGAAATCCACCAAGCTTTTAAAGACGCCTCCATCGTCAATATTTAGAAAAACAAGAAAGACCGGTCAGACTGTGGCAACTACCGCAGAAACTCGCTGCTGTCTGTAGCTGGCAAGATTATAGCCTGAGTCCTCCTGAACAGACTTCTTCCTGAGGCGGAAAACTTCCTCTCAGAATCTCAATGTGGTTTTAGACCATCACGTGGCACCACTGACATAATCTTTGCTGCCCGCCAAATACAGGAAAAGTGCAGAGAACAGCGTCGTGACCTGTACACGACCTTCTTCGTCCTAACCAAGGCCTTCGACTCGGTCAACAGGGAAGCCCTCTGGCGGACCCTCAGCCGTTTTGGCTGCCCACCAAAATTCATTGCCATTGTGAGGCAACTCCACGATGGCATGAATGGCAGTGTCCTGCACAATGGCTCCCAGTCTGAGGTCTTCCCCAACCTAACGAGGATAAAGCAAGGATGTGTACTGGCGCCATCTGTCTTTTCCATTTTCTTGGTTGCCTTTCTTACTCGTTCCAGTGCCAATTTAGCCGGCGGGGTTGACACCGAGTACCAGGTGAAAGATATTTTCAACATGAGTCGACTCCAGGCAAGAATAAAGGTGTCAGCAGCTTCCATTACTGAAGTTCAGTATGCAGACGAACTCACCCTTGTCGCTCACACTGAACGCGACTTACAGGAGATCCTGAACATCTACGCAGATGCGTATGCACACTTCGGCCTTGAGGTGAATATACGTAAGACCCAGATTCTCTTTCAGCCTGCCCCTGGTTCAGCCACACCTCCACCAGCCATCCAGCTTAACGGTACTACCACTCTCTAATGTTGCCCACTTTCGGTATCTTGGTTCCCACCTGTCCACCAACGTAGACATCGATGTAAAGATTCAACATCGGATCAGATTTGCGTCTCAAACCTTTGGCAGACTCCATACCCGTGTCTTCAGCTGTAGGGAGCTGAAATTATCTACAAAGTTGAACGTATATCGAGCAGTGGTCTTCCCCACCCTGCAATATACCAGCAAGGCATGGATCACATACAGGAGGCACCTCAAGGCACTTGAAAACTTTCACCACCGTAGTCTATATTCCATCCTCCGGGTTGGCTGGGAAGACAAGAGAACAAATGCCAGTATTCTCGCTGCCACCAACTGGAGGAGCATCGAGGTTACCATTATCCATGAATAACCACGTTGGACTGGCCATGTTACCCGCAATGACGACAGTAGACTGCCAAAGCAGCTACTTAACAGTCACCTAACGATTAGTAAACGTAATGCTGGCGGAGAACTGAAAAGGTATAAGGATAGTCTTAAGACAAACCTGAAAAAGTGCCAAATCGACCCCCCTCACCTTGGAGACGATTACTCCGCACCGTAACGCTTGGAGGAGCACCACATTTTATTCTGGCTACCGCCAGGCGATCTTATTCAGTTTAGGGTAACCTCCCGCTGTGAAAGGGCTGAGACTCACCGACCTAGGTGACATCATTAATAACTCATATCATTGTCTGTTAGCTGGATGATCGTCATACTCGATTCCGAGTGACAGCAAAGTAGTAGTCGTAGTAGTAATGTGTGTGTGTGTGTGTGTGTGTGTGTGTGTGTGTGTGTGTGTGTGTGTGTGTATGAATTATCACAACCACCACAACCATCACTACAACTAACACCACCACAACCACCATCCACCACCACCAACAAAAACCAACCCCAACAACAACCAACCCCAACAACAACCAACCCCAACAACAACCAACCCCAACAACAACCAACCCCAACAACAACCAACCCCAACAACAACCAACCCCAACAACAACCAACCACTATCCACAACAAATCCATTACTTCACTGAACGTCTGTTTAGTTATAAAAACAAAACAAAAAAACAATCACCCTCAGAGTCAGTTCACAACCCGGGGTGGGGGGAGGGAGTGATGGGGGTCGACACGTACAGTAAAGGAGAGGTTGTGGAAGCCTTGTTAAAACCTTTCAGACAAAGTGAAGCCTCCAGTGTTGAACTATGCAACCTGTTGTACCCTTAGAGGTAAATCTTGTAAACCGCTCCACCACATATGGGTTCACCTGAAGAGTTGAAATTGTAAAAAAAAAGTTGAAATTTAAAAAAGTTGAAATTGTACAAAAAGTTGAAATTGTAAAAAAGTTGAAATTGTACGAAAAAAAGTTGATATTGTACCAAAACAGTTGCAATTGTAGAAAAAAGTTGAAATTGTAAAAAAAAAAAAAACGTTGAAATAGTAAAAAAAAAAATGTAAAAAAAAAGATATTGCCCAAAAAATTGAAATTGTAAAAAAAGTTAAAATTGTAAAAAAAAAATGAAATTGTAAAAAAAAAGGTGTTTATAGATAGTGGGGATGATACAGGTGTAATGTGAATACGATACCGATATTGAGATGAGTGCAGGTGTTGCATCTCTCTTGAAGGTGCCTGAGGGGTGTGTGTGTGTGTGTGTGAAATTGACCAAAAGTACCTAATATTGTTAAAAAAAATAGCTGATATGAGGAAAAGTTAAGTCTAATTTTGGTCAGGGTGAGTTAGGTTAGGTTAGGTTAGGTTAGATTAGGTTAGGTTAGCTTTGGTTATGTTAGGTTAGTTATGCTCTTTTTCTATCTTTCTCTTGCTCTCTTTAATTAACTTGCTTTCTTTTTCTCTCTTGCTCATTCTTTCTCTTGCTTTCTCTCATTCTCTTGCTCTCTCTCTATTGCTCTCTTCTTTCTCTTACTCTGTTTCTCTTGTTTTCTCTCTCTCTTTCTCTAGTTCTTTCTCTTGTTCTCTCTCTCTTGTATTCTCCTTTTCGGTTTATCTGTCTCTTTACCTGCATTCTCTTTCTCCCTTACTGTCTTCCTCACTCCCATCTTCTTCCTTCCATAACAATGTTTACTTCTGGACGTGTCTCTCCCTCTCTCTGTCTATATGTCTCTGTATCTCTCTATATTTGTTTAATTCTCAAGTTCTCTCTCTTTTTATATATCTCTGTATCAACCTCTGTCTCTCTGTTTGTCTCTCATCTCTTTCTCCTACTACAACAACAACAACAACAACAACACCAACAACACCAACAACCAACCAACACCAACACCAACAACATGACAACAACAACAACAACAACAACAACAACAACAACAACAACAACAACAACAACAACAACAACAACAACAACAACAATAATAATAATAATAATAATAATAATAATAATAATAATAATAATAATAAAACAAAATAAAGCATCATCAACATTAATTAATTCCTTTTCAAGAACTAATGAAAACCCAAGGGAGGAAACGGAAGACGTGAATAGAGAGAGAAAAACGATTAAAAAAGAAGCAGCCGGAAAAAAAGAAGATAGCAAGATGAAGAGAGAGAGAGAGAGAGAGAGAGAGAGAGAGAGAGAGAGAGAGAGAGAGAGAGAGACAAGAGAGGAGAGACAGAAGAAATGAGATAGAGATAAAATTAGTAGAAGAAAAAAGATAGACAATGAGATGAGAAATTGAAGAAAATGAAAACAAGAAAGAAAGCAGACAGACGACATCAGCTGAGCCCTTCATATCAACAAGCACATGAAACTCCATCGTGTTAGAAGTCTCTTGGTGTTTGTTACTGTGGATTAAAAAACAATAATAATAATCCTTGTTAGTTCACGAGACGAGTGTTTTATACAACGGGTCCCTGAAGGTGGTGGTAGTGTTGTTTAAAGGCCTTAACAGCTCATTGTTTACGTATAGTCAGGAAAGTCAAATGATGATCTATACTTTACTTTTGTATTATTTGATCAACATGAAATAATAATGTGTGTTGGGGTAAGGAAAATTTGTGTTGATGTTGTTGTGTTGTTGTCCTGTAAGTGTGGTTATTATATGTTGTTTTCATTTTTAGTGGTGTTAATTAAGGAGTGTTCTTTTGTTAATTATTTTTACAGCGTTGTTCTCCTGTAGGTGTTATTATTATTATATTATTTACACCTTGAGATGGTCTTTAGTTTTGGCGGGTCATGAGTCTAAAGAACACACCAAGACCCACCACCGTGACCACCTGTAGTCCTCACCACAAGTCCTCGTATAGCTTCCTCCCTCAGGTGGCGTTAATAGAAACACTAATAAATACCTCTAATTATATCTTTCCCTCATATGTACAGGCTTAATATCAACACTAATAACCTTCTCCTACTTAACACTCAAGTTAATGAATCTCAGATGTTCTCACGATTAATTTTTAACGTATATGAAGGAGCATGTGAGTCAGTGTGTTTGTTCCCTTGTGGTGAGTTGGGGGGGAAAAATAGGATCACCTGAAGGTTAGACACCCCCAGCTTATTTCACCTTTTGATAGAACACCCTAACCTAACCATTGATAATCCGTGTTCTGGTCCGTATGTGAGAAAGCTTAGCGAGAAGGTAAGATGGTACTCAAGATGGCGTGAGACTCTACTACCATGACGCAGGTAAGGTCATCTCCACCCCCAACACGACAACAACGGCAGAGTAATGAAGACGTTGGTGTGCTTCATATAATGTACTGTACTGTACTGCCTTGTAACACCATTTAACTTATTACCACCACAAGTTTTAAGCAGCTGTTGGTTTAAACCTCCGCGTTGTTCTAATTACAAAACAGGTGTGAAAAATAACCTGATTAACCGGGACATTATTTTGCCTGTTCTCGGTACAATATATCTATGCTAGTAAAAGATCACACAGAAGTTTTTACTCTGACAAGCGAGTCAAATTAAACCCTGAACGGAGTGTAAAAAAGCTGTTGTGTTGTACAAGAAAAACGCGTGGCTTATCCCGCGGTTGGCAACTCAGGCGCAGGTATAAATAGTTTCCCAGCGAAACTCCCGCCAGTGTACGGGAAGAGCGTTGGCACGATAGACCTATACAGGCTTTTCGCTGCCCACTCTTGAGTTTCTTTTGACGTTTGCAAGTGTATCTCAGTCTTGATTTAGAGCGCAGTTTTGTACACTCGTCTGTGGCTAAATCAAGCGAGGTGAACGGTGGACTGTCATTACCTGTTATAACACACGTAAGTCACGGAGGAGAAAAACCTTACGAGAAAGTATTGCGATACACACTAGCTGACGCCTCGATCTAGAATGCTTTTGTGTACGCTAGAGTATAACAGTAGACGAGTGTTGTTGTTGTTGATGATGTAACCAGTAACAACCGTACAACTTACTGCTCCGGGCCAACCAAGTCCGAGAAAAAATACACAAACAAAAAACATTCCACCCCAAGACGATAAACTTTGCATACATGTTAGTAAGAATTGAGTAAGATAAACGCCTTAGTAGAGAGAAGTATAGATCTGTATGTAGAGTGTACTGGTAGTGGTGGTGGGGGCGAGGATGTAGCGCCCCGGGGATGACGTCAACAGTCACCATGCATCACGACAATGTCTGCCTCCACACCTAAGCTCCAGCGACCCTGCAGGTAAGACTCATTAACACCTGGACGACGATGATGACAAGGAGGAAGGGGAGGAGGAGGAGGTGGTGGAGAGGGAGAGGAGCAGGGGAAGGTCAGGGAGGAGAACCTGGAGAGGGAGAGGAACAGGAGGTGAGGGGAGCAGTAGGAGAAGGAGGGGGGGTGAAAAGAGGGGAGAGGAGGAAGACGAGGTGGTGGAGACGGAGAGGAGGAGATGGGAAGGATGAGGAGGAAAGGGAGAGGAGCAAAAAGAGTGCAGGAGTTGATATCTTCCACCAACACTTAAGAGGAGGAGGAAGAGAAGGGAGGAGTGCATGTTATAATAGGCTTGTATCTTGAGTGCTTCCTGCATCTTCATCACTGTCACGAGCAAGAGGGGGGGGGGGCAGAAGGAGGAGAGGGAGGAAGAGAAAGAAGAGACACAGGAGGAGGAGAAGGAAGAGGAAAGGAGGAGAGGACGTGAAAGAAGAGACGCAGGAGGAGGACGAAGAGAAAGAAGAGAGGAATGAAGGAGGAGGAGGAAGGGTGTGAATTTGCGTGTGTTACTCCAGGATGAGAAAGATAATGAATAAATGAAGGATGAAGAACGAAGATGAAGAAGAAGAAGAAGAGAAGCGCACGTTCCTCAAGTACAAGCAGTGACTAGTGGGCCCTTCTTCTTCCCCCTTTCCTCCCTTCCTTCCCTCCCTTTCTCACTCCCACCATCTTATTGACCAGCCCACCCCTACCCTCCCCGAGCTCCTAAAATAGTAACTTTCTTCAAATTTATGTCTCCTAGCCCTGAGAAGATGTTCCGTGTTGTAGCGGATCGATTCACAAATGTAAGGTTTTTGGACCAGAGAGCCACATAACGTGTCGTGAGGTGATTTGTTGGAGTGAAAGAATGAAATTGTCGTAAAATCGAATGGATTATTTGGAGGAAATCGTCTGAGAATATCATGTAACTCGTGATTTTGTGGTGTCAAATAATGGAACTATCCTCAAATCGACTCGAAAATTAATGGTTTCCAAATGAGAACCTAAAATCAACCAATCTTGTGAAAATAATATGATTTTTTAAAATTTATTCGAAAAAAATAATTTTCAAAGATTTAAAATGTTAGAAAATTGAATCCCTACCCAATTTAAATAAGACAAAAAATAAACACCTCCCTGTAAAATAGATTTAGAAATAAGTTAAATCCTCCTCGTCAGATTATAGTGAGTCTTTAAAATTTATTTCTCTAATTCTGTCTTAGAGAAAGTTGTTTTTAGAAAGTATTGCAAAGGATTACGCGAAGTAGAGGAGGAAAAATATGGATTTATTCTGCTAATTGGTTTATCTTGTTAAAATGTTTCCTGGTTTTTTTTTGACGTAATTGGTAAAGAAAAATGGAGTGTCTGATCAGGCTAATTGGACACTTCCTTATAAAAAAGATCATAAAAGAATTCCCTATTTCTTTTACCGTTTCCAGTAAATTGGTTTTGTCTTACACGAGTCAATTTTTTTTCTCCAATTGAAATAGCTAAAAAAAAAAAGGAACAAATCGGATACTATTCTTGCTACAGTTAGAATAAAATCACTTATCTAATTCATCATTTTAAATAACGAAAAAATAGGAATACTTTTCAAAATTAGTTATTACTTGTTATTAGACTTCAACACTAATACATTCTCCCCAATTTACTGAAACAAACTGATACCAAAAATTGATCATCTCTCGCAAAATTCATCCTATCGAAAATTTCCCTGAATTTGACAGAAAATAAAATATAAGAAATTTAGAAGAAAAATTGTATCTCAGTATGGAGAAACAATGTTAGAAAATAATAAATATATTATTATATGTGGGAGTCTATTTCATGGTATAACTGAGTCTATTTCATGGTATAACTGATAGTCTATTTCATGGTATAACTGAGTCTATTTCATGGTATAACTGAGTCTATTTCATGGTATAACTGAGTCTATTTCATGGTATAACTGAGTCTATGTCATGGTATAACTGAGAGTCTAATTTATGGTATAACTGACAGTCTATTTCATGGTATAACCGAGTCTATTTCATGGTATAACTGACAGTCTATTTCATGGCATAACTGGCAGTCTATTTCATGGCATAACTGACAGTCTATTTCATGGCATAACTAACAGTTTATGTCATGGCATAACTGACAGTCTATTTCATGGTCTAACTGACAGTCTATTTCATGGCATAACTGACAGTCTATTTCATGGCATAACTGACAGTCTATTTCATGGCATAACTGACAGTCTATTCCATGGCATAACTGACAGTCTATTTCATGGCATAACTGACAGTCTATTTCATGGCATAACTGACAGTCTATTCCATGGCATAACTGACAGTCTATTTCATGGCAAAACTGACAGTCTATTTCATGGTATAACCGAGTCTATTTTATGGTATAACTGACAGTCTATTTTAAGGTATAACTGACAGTCCATTTTATGGTATAACTGACAGTCTATTTCATGGTATAACAGAGTCTATTTTATGGTATAACTGACAGTCTAATTTATGGTATAACTGGCAGTCTATTTCATGGTATAACTGTCAGTCTATTTTATGGTATAACTGACAGTCTATTTTATGGTATAACTGACAGTCTATTTTATGGTATAACTGACAGTCTATTTTATGGTATAACTGACAGTCTATTTCATGGGCTTATAGGTACGGATAGTCTATATTTCACGATATTGAAGTTAGAGTATATCTCATGGTAATAAAGTTGGAGTATATTTCACATGGTATTCACAGTCTAAATTAACGGTATTAAACTGATAACATTTCATTACAGTTAACTGACAATTTAACACTAATGGTGGTATCTAAACTCACAGTCTACAGTATAATGGTGTCAATTTGGCAGTCTAATTCACATGGCATTCAAATATATTTCATGACAGTAAAGTTTAGTTCAGGACAGGATAATATTATCATGAAAGCAAAGTATATATATATCATGACAGTAAAGTATATTTCATGAGAATAAAATATAGTTCATGACAGTAAAGTATATTTCATGGCATTTAACTCTACCTCACAGCATTATAAAACATATCACAGCAACATTAAAATATACTCCAGAGCATGAGAGAGAGTGTATCATGGGACTGGAATATATATCACGACTTTGAACTATATCTCACGGCACTGAGGTAATATTTTCTAGTGTTGTGTTGAGGATCTGTCTCTCTCTCTTCTACAGTCTCACTAAATCAGGTAGTTAAGCCCCTGTCTCTCCCTGTTTGACTGTCTGCCCTTTTATTACTGTCTATTTATACTCGTTTGTGGGTGTGTGTGTGTGTGTGTGTGTGTGTGTGTGTGTGTGTGTGTGTGTGTGTGTGTGTGTGTGTGTGGGTGTGTGTGTGTGGGTGTGTGTGTGTGTGTGTGTTTGGATGTGTTATTATGGCGTTATAGGTGTATTTGTATAGTGTTTGGTTGTATGTTTATGTATGAATGTTTCTGCATGTGTGTATTATTAAATAAGTAAATATTATTATTATCTGATAAACAAAAACATGTACCAAACGTGTTGATACAAGAGCCACGGGGAAAATCATTTCACTATGTTGATATCCGTTCATTACCAGACTAATGTGTTATTGTGCTCGGAAACTGAATTCGCAAGTGTATGTATGTATGTATGTATGTATGTATGTATGTATGTATGTATGTATGTGTGTGTGTGTGTGTGTGGGTGTGTATGTATGTATGTATGTATGTATAGCCAATCAGAGGCTGGTGAGAGAGAGCACGCGCGGGAAATGAATATTCAGTGGTACAGTGGACCCAGTGTAAACAAACCAGTGATGTAGCACTCTGATAGAAGGCTCGTTTACGGGGAAAATAAACAGACAAAAAAAATAGGAACCAAAAAACAGATTTTTTTCCATGAAAAAAAAAAACTCTTGAATTTTCCTTTTAGTGTGCTTAAGTAAGTGTGATTAATAAAACCCCTGAGTGATATTATGATCGCATGTGGCCACTGCAGGTACTGTACGTGAATAAAGGGCAATTAATTAGTTTTACATCATGGTAGCCTCGCGTGCAGCTCACAGTGATAAATTAGTTTGATAGGATCCCCTCAATTAAATATTTATAAATACACCTGTTAACAATATGATGGTTAGATTGATGTTCATACTATGTATATATACAGTATATATACATATTGTCAGGTGAGTATTGTCAGGTGTACTCTTGTTGCTACACAGTTTCTTCTTCTTGTTTTTCTTATTATTTTTAATACAATTATTATTATTATTAGAGAGAGTAGGAATATTAGTATTAGTTTTCTTATTATATTTCTAGTTTGTTACGTTGTATATTTATGACTGTGTGTGTGTGTGTGTGTGTGTGTGTGTGTGTGTGTGTGTTAAAATAGCCATAAAAGCCATAAAGATGTTGCAGGGAGTATCATGGTTAGTAATTATACCAGTTCATTAACAGTTAACAAGAATAAGAATAGGGCTTCCTCCTGTCTGTCTGTCTGTCTGTCTTTCTTTCACATATCTGTCTATCTGTCTCTACGTCTCTATTTCTGTCTGTCTATAAAATGACCACCAGGCCCGTAAGCTAATAGCCCATTTATCATATTTTTCTGAAGCACATGCAGCATCACATGTTATTTTTAGACCAATCCATGAAGCGGATGACAGAACTGACGGTAATATTAATAAACCCAGAACATATACAACGGGATATTGTGCAACAGTGGTACCCGAAAAAAAACAACAATTAAAAACAATAAAAAAAAACACAATAAATTTTACCTGGTGAGTTTTAGTCACAGACACACAGACATGGACACAGACACACAAACATAGACACAGATATAACACAGACAAACAGACAGCCATAGACACAGACATATGCATCCAGAAACAGACACAGACATATACACCCAGACAAATATATAGACATAGACACAGACATGTACATCCACACATAGACAGATAGACATAGATATAGACATATACAGATAGACACAGCGGC